ATTATAATTTGTACTTGGTTTCATAGTTAATGGCCAAAGGAAAAGGATAATACAACGTTAGAGATTCTAAAAAAGAGGCAATAATCATAATTAAGTTTTCCAATATTAAGCTACCAAACTATATTGATCATTATTTAAATTATACACGATTGACAAGGAGGCTTATTAGTTTAATAATTAATGAAAGATATATGAGAGAACATGGGGCTTAAACATATGTAGTTAAACTAATCAATAAATGCTTCTCTCACTAAAAGAAAAATAGATATATAGACAGGGAAGCGAAACGATGAACAAATATGAAATTAATAACTTGAATTTTATAATAAATAAGATTTTTTTTAATAATTAATAACTTGAATTTGCCAAATAAGCTTAATTAATTAAAACGGCAGCAACTCTAAAATATTGTCAACGTCATGCCACCCCCTAATAGTTTAGGCGAAACTTGAGATTACTTTTTGAACTTCTCATTCATGATGTAACCTTATTTAGGGGCAAAAGTTTACGACTTTCAAGAGCATTTCATTATGTCTTTATGGCATATTCAATATAGATGATTTGATAAGAGGTGGATCCCATCTTTGTTTGTGTTATTATTGGAGGTAGGTCCTGATCTAATGTTAGGGTTAATTTTCTCTTCACTAACGAAAATATATAAGGCCCGTTTAGTTCGTTGATTTAAATTTTTAATTCGAGTTGAGATGTAATTTTATATGAGAGCTTCTTACTGTAGTAAAAAAATTAAATGTGACTGTTTCTGAGAACATTTTATTATAACAAAACTCGAATCGATAAAATGAACGAGACTTAAGCAATTATCATATACTTCATCAATAAAAAAGAAAGAAAGAAAAAAGAAAAACAATTGTCATAGAATTTTAGTGCTATAGGTATAGGTAGGTGTCTTCTCAAAGAGAATGGAGTGAATATATGGTCATAAGGATCTGATTGTGAGAACTCTTCACCAAATGGTTATCTTCATGCTGTGCATCAATAATTCAATGATATTGATTTCTATAGGGGTCCCACATATATAGACTTGTGGTCACTTGTTTGTATCCACGTCAGCATTGATGTGGACTAATGTTTTGAGATGGGATCGATTGAAGGGGCTGACAAGACCAAGAAAGATCATAGACACCGCCCACAAGAAATTTTGTTTTAGGGAATGTTTGATTGGAGGATTTAAATCATGATTTAAATTATAGTTCATGTATTTTTTCTCATAAAAAATACACATAAATAAAAAATGATTCTAATCCATGAACCAAACGTCTTTTTAGGATTCAAACTATGATTTGAATCATGGTTCATGGTTCGCTACAGTGTTTTCTCTCACAAAAAATACACGTAAATCGAAAATGATTCTAATCACATGATTTTAATCCATGAACCAAACGTCTCCGTGTATGAGTAACCCCCACTAATGGCTAACCATAAATCTTATATAGATTCAGGAAATTTCTATACGAGTAAGATTATAAGGTTCATAGGATCTTGGCGGTGGGTATACTAAGGCCCCGTTCACTTCACCAATTCGAGTTTAGAATTTGAGTTTTTGTACTGTAAAAAGTTCTCAGAAACAGTCATATCTAATTTTTTTACTACAGTAAAAAACTCTCACATAAAATCACATCTCAACTCGAATTACAAACTCAAATCAGCGAAATGAACGGACCCTAAATACTAAAAGGAGATAAATATTTTTTTAAAGTGTGTAAATATGAATTTTTACTTTTTATTTTTGATTAATACCGTTTTTAATCATATAAATAATTATATTAGTAAAAAAAAGTATTAATAAAAAATAAGAGATAAAAATCAACATTCATGCACTAGGTAAGTTCTGAAATTTTCTCAAAAATTTCTAAAAGATTTTTAAGGTAAACTAACATAAAATCTGTGTGATAATTAGCAACAAATTAAGATGAAAGATCAACAAGATATCATATGAATTATGAGAAAGTTGTGGTAATTTGTAAATATACTTGCTGGTGGGATGGGATACAATTTTAGAGTATCATTCCTTTTTCATCAAATTCTATTAAGATGGTCATATTTTTAACAAATAATAATAAGAACAGGACAAATTTTAAACCATATTAAATCTTCACAAATTCTGTTAATAAATTAGCCATAAACTCCTTAAACATTGTCAACTTAAACCTTTCCGTCTATTTTCATTAATTTTCTCACGGTTTTACTAAGGAAACTTATCACGTGAGTTAATTTTATCATAAAAGACCACAATATCCCTACTAATATTGAATCAAAAGAACAAAACTACCTTCTGCAATTCCAAAACCCCAATTTTGAAAAAAAACAAACAAAATCAATCTTTCCTGTACATACGGGATCTGGCTGTGTATAGGGGGAAAAGAATTGTCTCTTTGCTTTTGTAATCACTTTTTCTTTGCATAGTTTCTCTTTAACCATTTAGCTAAAACCATAAATAGTTTAGTAAAAACAGCAGTATTTGCTAGATATCACAGCTTGTACTACTCCTCAATGCCATGTGAAAGACCTATAAAAAGGTAAGGATAAAAGGAGTGGACCCCTCAGAATTCATATGTCACTTTTCATAGCTTTTAAGTGCTTATATATGGCCCACCCTTGGTCCTACTTTCTTTTCATTTTATTTACACACATTTATATGAGTTCCAAGAATTACTATTTACTATGCAAGAGTGATAGATCTCTTATCTAATAATTATTTTTATTAACTAGGATCTCACTTATCCCCTTAACCGATTCATCTTATGTGAGTAACGGAGTTTTAACTCTTTAAAAATGACTGGAAGTACTCATCTAAAAATAATTGACCTATGTCAATATCTAAACATTTAAGTTTAAACTGAAAATTTGAACAAAAATTTTAATTTTTAAGGGGGCGTTTGGTAGAGGGATTCGTTCCCTGATTCGAATCATGATTCGTGGTTCGCTACAGTATTTTCTCTCACAAAAAATACATGTAAATCGAAAATGGTTTGAATCCTCCAACCAAACGAACCCAGAAAAAATAATAAAAATTTAAACTATAATTTAATTAACTGAGAACCAAAAGGCATTTTAACTTAAAATATGTCAATGTAAGGAATGATTAGTATGGGGAAAAAAAAAACAAAGAAGCAAATCCTAGACTAGAAGCTTGTCCTTTTCTACACATCAGTCGTCATAATCTTAACCCGTACTTACTGGTCAGGTAGGCTCAATTTTTCGGCTCAACTCTACCCTACTCGGCCGATTTACACCTCTAGTAATGATTTAGCTCCTTTCTTCTTCTGTCCTTTTCTACACAACAGTCGCCATAATTTCACAACGAATTTGTAGAAGGATAGAGATATCAGTCCTAGTGGTCTAAGCTAATTGGACCAAAATACAGTAACATTATCCAAAGAGTAACTAGGCAGGTCCAATATGTGTCGGACCAATCAGATAAACATTAGTAGCCTAAAAAAGAAAAAGAAAACAGAAGGAGAGAGATGTAAAAATAGAAGAAAAAGGAAAAGAGAAAACTACAGAGTAATTATCTTATTATTTATTTATGTTATTAAAAATAATTCTGATAGAATATGAAATGTATTTTAGTAGAATACGAAAAGTACCCTGTCAGGAAAAAAGAAATATTCTAAGTAGAATATGAGTAAAAATATTCTGGTAAAACGTACTTTAACCATGACAATTGTCATTATTTCTTTTATTATATCTCGAGGTTGAAGGTTTTGTTTTCGCATGGCAATCAATAACAAATCTTACTAATGCTTGAAAGCTTAGGCCTTTTTCTATTGGATTAATACTGCAATCTGTTAGTTCTAGTGTTGTAGTTATTTTTTTTTCTTTTTATTTTTTTAATGATAAAAAGTCTGAGTAGGGAGCAATTAGCGTCAATGGAGTATTAGGCTGACAAAAAAACAAGCATTCACATTTAATACTCTTGTGGGTAACCACAAGCCCACCACAATAGTCCATTACTGCTAGGCCATCATATTCAGTGGTTTTTCTTAGTTTAAATGCCCTAAGTGATTGCTCATTAGTCCACTTTAAACTTTCAATTTTTGGTGTTGATTAAACCAATTTCTTTTACCAATTTATGTTGGATTTGGAGCTAATACATGATTGTTCTAGCTTCAAACAATTAAAGTGTACTGATCACTCTAAAAAATCAATCACTTATTACCTATATGCAAAGTAATATGTAACTTTCAATGTTTATCATACTTGCAACTTCATCAAACAGGTTTGTGCTAATTAATTACAATGGTGTACAAAAATTATCTCTCATCAGAATGATCCCAAACAGGCCCTTAATTATGGCAATTTTGAGGTTTACTACTCAAGACTGACCCTGGACTTTTACACAAACAAGAAGGTCATAGAGGACATTGCCATAATTCCCACAAAGCGGCTGCGCAACAAGATCGCGGGGTTCTCAACGCACCTGATGAAGCGGATTCAGAAGGGCCTGGTGCGAGGAATATCTCTCAAGCTCCAAGAAATGAAGCGCGAAAGGCGCATGGACTACGTCCCTGATGAGTCCGCAATCAAGACTGATGAGAGATCAACGTTGACAAGGAGATTCTTGACATGCTTGCTGCTCTTGGCATGTCTGATATTCCTGGCCTAACTCAAGTTGAGCCTAAGGCTGTCATTCCTTTCCAAGGTTTCAAGAAGAGGTTTTGAATGAGATTTTCTTTTAAGGCTTTAGTTTGTTTTCTTTTAGTGTCATAATTTTATATGACATTTGAAGTTTAAATGCTTGATCTTTGGGATGAAATACTTGGTGATTGGATTTTTTGAACATTTGGTATTGGTTAACATTGGAGAATTTTTTAAGTTTATGATTGTTCTCTTTAATGGGATAATTAATTTGTTCCTTTTGTAAATTTCTCTAAATTTAATTATAGCTTCTTCACTTCATCAGAATTCAGAAGTATGGGGCCGTTGTGCTCGTTACTAAACTTGTTGAAGAGATGAAATATAATCAAAGTATGTCTTGATCACCATACGAAGATTTAGAATAAATGCAGTTTGGAAAGATAAAATTTCGTCAAAGAGTTTTACATAAATCGAAGGATATTGGGCCTAACTCAACCTAACAAAACCGGCTTATTAGGAGAGGATTACCCTCACCTTATTAAGTGGATCATGTCAATATCTCCAACCAATATGGGATTCTAATACGCCCCCTCACGCACAGCGTGGACCATGCCAAACCGCTGCGAATAAGTCGATATTGGGGGACTCAACATTGTAAAACTGGGCCTGCTCTGATACAATTTTACAGAAATCGAAGGATATTGAGCCTAACTCAACCTAACAAAACCGGCTTGTTAGGGGAGGATTGTCCTTACCTTATTAAATGGATCATGTCAATATCTCCAGTCAATGTGGGATTCTAATAAAGAGAAACAAATGAAAGGCTCTTATAAAAGTTTCTCTAATGTGCTTAAGCAATTTGACTAATTTCTCTAGTTTATACTGTCTAAACCAATAACTAATCATTTCTCATTGCAAACAACTCTCAGAAATGGAAAATTTTCTGTTTTTGTTACCACTTCAAACTATAGAATCTTATCAGTTGATAAAAAGCTGTAGATGAACATGTCTCTGATTTCACCTTTACAGAAGCCATACTTCCTCAACAACCCTTCTTTTAGGAACCCAACCTTTTCAAGTACCCTTTGGGAAGCTCTATTCTCAACCTCCACCAATGCCTCAAGCCTTACCAAATCAGGAAACTCTTTCAACGCCGACGAAATCATCACTCTCAGTGCCATTGCGACAATCCCTTGGCCCCAGTAGGCTGCTCCCACAGCATAGCTAACATGTGCCCTGCATTTGTTGTCGCCAGATTCTGGCTTGACCGAGACGTATCCTATCGAACGGCCATCCAAACATATGGTCCGACGCCATGGATGAGGTATGACAACCTTCTCAACGTATGTCAAGGCTTCTTCCTTGGTGGTTATGGTGTTCCACCTTAGGTAGCGTGTTACTCTATCATCACTTGCCCATTCGAGGAAGTCATCTACATCAGAGAGCTTGAAGGGCCTAATCGAAATTCTCGGGGAATCCATGGATCGGAAGCTTTGATTTTGAGAGTGGTTTTCAATCTAAATCTTGGAAGAGAATATGAGTTTCAAAGTGAATAATTGCTTGGGAAGTGGACAATGCAAAAGATCAGGACTTGGTCAAATATGATGAGCTAAATTTTAGAATCTGGTCCAATAATACAGAGTTGGGTGCATACACTGAACTTGCCTATTAGCAGACAAATTGCTCATTCTTGGCATGTGACTCAATTTGCTTCATAAATGTCATATTCATTATTACGATAAAGAATTGATAATGAAAGCAAGTTCATTATTCAAGAATATTACAACTGTAACACCAGGAAAAAAAAAAGTGACATGGGTCAAGCACAAAGCAAATCTGAAATCTGTAAAACAAACTATTATAGTCAAACACAACAAGAATTAAGGGAAGTTTTAAGCATCAGATTTAAGATTGAAAAAAGTAACAATTCAGGTCATAAGATCACCAGACAAAAGACTGTACATGACAATATCTTTTACTGTGCCTTTGTTAAAGGTATACTTCCTTAGGATACCTTCCTTGTAGAACCCGATTTTTTCCAACACCTTTTGAGAGGCCTTGTTCTCTACCTCAACCAAGGCTTCCATTCTAACCAAATGTGGGAATTCTCTAAACCCTTCAGAAATGGCCACCTTCACAGCTCTAGGTGTTATGCCTTGGCCCCAGTACTCGGCAGCCAAGGCGTACCCCACACGCGCTCGACACTTGTCATCGCCCTCTCGTGGCATGATGAGCACAAATCCGATCGAATGGTCACCGATGCATATGGATCTGCACTACGGGTGGGGAATGCAGAAGTTGCTGATGTAAGAAAGTGCCTCTTCCTTGGAAGTGAATGTGTTCCACCTGGTGAATCTTGTCACCTTCTCATCGCCAGCATATACGAGGAAGTCATCAGCATCGTTGATCCTATAAGGACGGAGTGTGATCTCCAAACCACTGGTTGCCATTTTCTTTGGACTAATTGCTATTGTCAGAGTTGGAAAAGGAATACACACACACACGGGGTATGGTATCACCAGAGGAAGTGCATGCTTATGAACGTTATATATAATTAAAATCACATAAACAAAAGTATGAAAAACCCACAAAATCTTAATTAGTTTAAATTAGAGCACTACTGGGTGAAATGGATAATACTGATATTGTTCTTTTGATAAAAAGAAAAGGCCAAAGAATTAGGCATCTGACAATGAAATTTTTGTTAAAAAATTGCAGACAACTTTGACACAGATCACAATACAGATATTGTTCTGTTTGCGAATAAAAGCGAAAGCCAAAGAGTTGGTAGTAGGTGATGATGATTCTATATATTAAAAGATTCTAGACAACTTTAATAAACAGATTACGCTTCAGGTTGATCAAAGAAGAATCAACTTTAGTATTCCTAGCAATTTAAGTTTTGTTCATTTAACACACGGTGACATAATTAAATTGGCCAAAAAGTCTGACAATAGGAATTCAAATAATATTGGGCTTGCGAAATGCTCAACTGGGTATAATATACAAGAATTTCTTTTTCCGCCATTGTATTATCTTAGATTTGAAAAATAAAATTAATTACAGGAACTGGTTCTCTTGTTTGGGCTTTGGATGTTCAAATAAAAATTCTTCCTCTTAGTCAATTAATTTTGTCCAAGAGAAAATCAAAGGCGGCTCTTTTGATAATAAGGTATGTCACCACAATGACTCAAGTGGGTCCCATAAAATGGATTTACAAGAAATGAGAAGGTAGAAGACTCAATTAACCATGATGATACATTTTTATACTTAGTACATCTATGTTGTGAGCAAGTACACTAAACAAACATCAGAAACAAGTTGGACAACACTTTTTTCATACTTAAAGCAAAGCAAAACAAACTTCACAAAGGTGTGAATAAAACATACCACTAGAAAAATTCCAACATTTTCCAAAGAAATGGAATAAATTTGATCACAGAATCTTATCAGTTGACAAGAGACTATAAACAAAGACGTCTTTGATTTCACCTTTAGAGAAGCCATATTTCCTCAGATGCCCTTCTTTTAGGAAACCAGCCTTTTCTAGCACCCTTTGGGAAGCGCTATTCTCAATTTCTACCACAGTCTCAAGCCTCACCAAATCATGGAACTCTTTGAACACCAAAGAAATGGTCATCCTCAATGCCGTTGTAGTTATTCCTTTGCCCCAATGATCTGCTCCCAAAACATAGCTAACGTGTGCGCGGCATCTGTCCTCGCCGGATTCTGGCTTGACGGAAATGAATCCGATCGAACGGTCATCCAAACATATCGACCGGTACCATGGATGGGGTGTGGCAAACTTCTCAATGTATGCCAAGGCTTCTTCTATGGATGTTATGGTGTTCCACCTGGAATGGCGTGTCACTCTATCATCGCCGGCCCATTCGAGGAGGTCGTTAGCATCGGAGAGCTTTAGCGGACGGAGGGAAATTCTTGAGGAATCCATGGAGGGTTTGGAAGCTTTGAGTTGGAGAATTGGATTTCTATCTGAATTTTGGAGGAGAGTTATAGGCACTAGAAAAAAATGAGTTACTGGATGTGGTTAACACAATTAATGACCAAGGCAATTATAATAAACTCACACTTAGAATCTAGTTCAATAAGAAAAAACCTGTCTATAAGCAGACAAATAGTCAATGCCACTGCTACAATATTGCGGACTGCCCCAAAAAAAGACAAGAAGAAAGATTAATGAGTTGTTCTTTTAGAGTGTGATTTGAGTGTAATTTTTAAGTTGAATTTAAGTTATAATTTGAGTTGAAGTTGTAATTTGAATAAAGTTAAGTAAAATTGAATAAAATTAAAACTTAAAAAAATGTGAACTTAAATAAAATTGTAACTTAAATTTAAATTTCTTTTAAATTTTGTTGAAAAAAATAACCCCTAAACTACTAACGTTGTTCTTTTAATAAAAAAGATAAAAACTAAAATCCAAAGAAGTACCGGATGACAGTGAATCTCACTACTAAAATATTCCTGTGTTTCGTTGAATAATACTTAGAGAGGCATAATTGCCTAGGATCAATTCCTCTTCTTAGTCAAATTCTTAGTCCGCAAGACTTGGTGACCAAGCGTCCACTGCTTATAACTCGTCTGCTATAGTATTGGTCAACCAAGGCGGCTATTGCCAGCATCTCTTGTTATTCTCGCTAGTAATACAATATTGTAACTTTATACATGTGTATATATATAATATATAATTATACAAAAGGGTGTATAACTCCTTGTCCATCACTCCAAGTAACGGAAAAGTGACTTGACGGCTTGCGCCCACAACAACCTAGTCTACCTTCATCTCAAATCTTGCTTCCAGGAAATTCCTTGTGACCACTAGCTTGTGTATATATATACTCAAATTTTATGTAAATTCTTCCCACAATATATCCATCTCCTCTCTCGTATTTATCACTCATCAAGGCTTATATATATTATAGTACTGCCCGTTTTAGCTGATCATAGTACTCAAAGTTGGTCAGTCATGCAGCAAATTCAAGTTCCTCGCAAACCAGATCATAATGGAACAGATATAGGTGGTGATCATGAATTCCAAAGGATCTCCCTCCGGCTGTTGGATCTCTCCGACATAGACGATTTCATGGTGTGGGCCACGGACGAAAAGGTGACACGTTTTTGCACTTGGGAGCCTTACACCAGCAGAGAAGAAGGGATGAACTTCATAAATGATAAGGTTATCCCTCATCCATGGTTCAGGGCAATTTGCCTTGGGGACAGGCCAATTGGTGCCATTTCGGTGACCGCGAATTCGGGCAATGATCGGTGTAGAGGCGAACTTGGCTATGTTCTGGGGTCCAAGTATTGGGGCAAAGGGATTGCCACACAGGCTGTGAAAATGGTGGCTAAGACCATATTCAAAGATTGGCCACAATTGGAGAGACTTGAAGCTCTAGTGGATGTGGAAAATGTGGGGTCCCAAAGGGTACTTGAAAAAGGTGGATTTCAAAGGGAAGGAGTTCTTAGGAAGTATTTTCTGCTCAAGGGGAAATCTAGGGACATGGTGATCTTTAGCCTTCTTTCTACTGATTCCCAATCTTGATTCAAATGATAAAATGTATGTATTAAATATTTGTTTCTCCATTGAAGATTTGTATTAGTTATAGTCATTTTGGCTTTTGTCACACCATTATAATAAAAATTTGGAAATAACATTTTATCTCACATATTTGGTGAGAGGTTTACAATTTGGTACTAAAAGTAGAACTACAAGAGATCACTCGTCTAAAGTTGCCAGTTAATGAATGCTCATCATGTATTAAAAAGGAGTGACAGAATTGCTGATGGGTCACTTGCTTGTGTGTATTTGACTCACCAACATATTAAAGGCAGAAAAAGTGAATGCGTGAGTGTTTATTGTGTATTTATGTGAGAGGATGAAAAAAGGAAGGCTAAAGCTGGATAGTGGATACTAAAGCAATAACCATGGCCTAAAACTAGAAAAATTGAACCATTACTCTAAAGTGGTTTGAGGTCTTATTTGTTATTAAAAAAAAAAAAAAAAAAAAAACAGAGGTCTTATATGTAAAGAGGAATGAGAGCGAAAAAAGGGAAAGCAATGGGATAATAGTGACTCATAAATGCATGACTGGCCAAATTAAATATGAGCAGTTGAGGATAAGACGTTCTAATTTTTTTATTACTAAGAGTAATAAAATCGACAAAACAAACAAATAAACATGTACAAATTTTATAATGGTTTACTTTTAATATTATTAAAATGAGACTTACATTTACTTTTAGCTGTTACATAATTTCACTACCATTAATAAATAAGATTACATGAGAAAATCACATATCGTTTACACTATGTTTAGTAGAAAAGAAAGTGAAAAGAAAGAAAAAGGTAGAGAGATTTTGAGACAGAAAATAAAAAAGTATGGTCTTTTTTTTTTAAATCTGAAGAAAAGTAGATTATTTGATAAGAGAGAGAAGGAAAGAAAGTGAAAGGAAAGAAAAAGGTAGAGAGATTTTGAGACAGAAAATAAAAAAGTATAGTCTTTTTTTTTTTAAATCTGAAGAAAAGTAGATTATTTGATAAGAGAGAGAAGAGGAGGAAAGAGAAATTTAAAGGAAAAATAGTACAAGTGGAACCGACCATATTTTATCCTTCCATAAGTGGAGAGATTTTAGGAGGAAAAGTTATCACTCTAACAACAAGATGAAATTACTTTCTTGGCCTCATTTATAAATTAATATTATACTTTTAAATAGGTAAAATAGTAAATACACATTAACTCTTTTTCTTCATTCCTTCAATGCCAAACAACAACAAAAAAAAAAAAAAACGTAACTCTTTTTCTTCATTCCTTTCATGCCAAACAACAACAAAAAAAAAAACCATTTTCTTTTCCATAATTCTTATTTTCTATTATTCATCTTTTACCTCTCCATCCTATTTTCTTTCCCTCTTACTAAATATAGCATTAGACACTTTGTGTTTTTGTAACTTCTCTAATGGAGCTTCTCTAGTAATACCAAAAAAATGAACTTTGGGCAATTTATCTATTTTCAGCCGTAATATCTGTATTATAAACTGTTTATTCTACATATTTTTTCAATCTAATATAATTTTAAACTAATCTAATAGTTAGATGCCTACTAGAAAAATTCTTTTTCTCTAAATCCTAAAATCAACGCTTCCCTAATAACTAGGTTTCATAGAGTCAGCACTAGCAGTGGTTCTGGTTTATTACGCTTGCATATATCAGATTTGTTTCAGAAAAAAAAGGGACTTATTCTTGCTATGATTTATAAAAAAGAAAGGATGAATTTAAATGAGTGAAGTTCCGCATTAAAAACCGGAGTTCTTTGTATTTCTGAATTGTCATATTGTGTTTATATATTCTTGGCAACTATTTTGGCAAATTCAGGGAAGTATTGGAGTAAATTTGGGTGCTATAAAGAAATTACATGGAAATTAGATGAAAACCATAGAGAAAAAAAAAGGAAAAAAAAAGACTATTTTTCCGTATTCCATGTAGTACTAATTGAGGTAAAGAAAAGTGGTAAAAATTAGATTAGTGCTGAAATTTTGGATGTGCCGCCTGCGACTATCGAAAATTTTAAATTTTTACTTGATGATCGAGCCCGAATTTTCAGGCTGCCTAACCCGACCCGAGGAAGACCATGGACGGGCCTCGGGCAAGTTTTGGCTGCCCGA